GAACATCTTCTCAACTGTTTTAGTAGGTTATTTTCAGGCTGTGAATGGATAGCATGGTATTGTAAATAATTATGTAGTCTAAAAAATGCCTGTTTTTTCTTTTCTGTAAGGATTCTGTCAATTATTGGTATTCAATTTGAATGTGTTTCATTTTTCCGTAATCAAGTCCTTTCTTATGGATGAGTCGGTACAAGTTAAATAGCAACGAGGGGAAAGTTTCTTAATTCAGGCTTTTAGATTTCCTAAAAATACGAGAAGAGAAATTCCTAAGATTAAACCGTTGCGATTATCTAGCTTTATACAATCTTCTGTTATAGAAGTCTTGGAGCATATCTACATAATTTTGCAGGTATATTCTACATCAGTTGATCACTTGCTATGCTTTTGTTTTTCTATTCAGATTTCATCTTTCCCGTGCCTCCTTTCTTTGTTCCACGTAAATATACTTTTGAATTTACCATTCAAACGATAACTCTGTGATTGCTATTTTGCTTGAACTAACTTAGGATATAGCAATTTTGTGAAGCAACGAATTTTTTCCAACCCCTGTATATTCAAGGTCGAAAAGGAAATCGCGTGGGGATGTGGTCTTTCTAATTTTTAGACTCCTAAAGGTATGTTGTTATGGTGGAATAATTATGGATTTAATGTCCAGCCATCAACTCCAATTTTCTCCACCGAGAAACCCCCACAGGGCCTCTTCATCGAGAGAATGGAGTATGCAAAGATTTGCTACTTTTAGAGAGTGCTAAGAATCATTTTAATTTGTTTGAAATTTTGATACGGGCTAATATTCTGAATGTTTCTCTGTTTTTTTTTTTTTTTGGTAATTCATGAATTCAATGGAGGAAATAGAAGTTCGAGATAGATACGATGGTGAGAATTTTGAATTTGTCGGTTTTAATCTTCTAATATCTCTTTTCTCGATTTTAATTTGTACCATTAAGAAGCCTTTTGTTGTTAGAATTTTTTTTGCGTCTATGTACATTGAACCTCATTTCAAGCTCCACCGCACAAACAAGGTCTTCTCTATAAATGGAAACCAAGATTCACTCAAGGGTTGTCGGCCTTGGATCAGAACCAGGTTCCACGATTGTTGATGTAGGAAGTTTCGCTAAAGGCAAACGAAGACGAGCCACTCAATGAGAAATCGGGTGCATATTTTCATGATTAATGTAGTTATTGAAGAAAGTGAATAATTTGGAACTGAGAAGTAGGCAATGGAGCAATATGGTCCACAACTATTGATAGAGATATGTTATTGGACCTACTGGCAGGGTCTTCACTTTGTGCTATTATTATTCCTAAGAATCTTTCTGCTAACTACTAACAATTTTAATTTTTAGGAGTGCACACATATATTTTAGACATATATAATTATAACAACATATTTTAGACATCTATGGATGATGGATGTTGTGGTCGAAATTGACTATTACTGGATGTACAAAGTGATTAAATATTTAAGTTTTTTTTTTTTTTTTTGAGAAACGATTAAATATTTAAGTTAAGACAATGAATACGTCCGATTCTGATAAGTTTCATTTGCTTTTATCAAGTTTTGTTTTTCTTCATTCTATAGTTATTTGTTCATGATTAACTGTATGTTTTAGTATGTTAAAAATCATATGTTGTGTTCTGATTATGATGCTTCACAGGTTGCTGAAATATTTTACCAAGTTATTAAAATATTATACGCATATATATGTCCATATTTTTATTCGATCCTCAATTAGAAATATGTACTTTTCACTGAAGAAAAATATAAATATGTATTTACCGTGCATCGCACGGGTGTAGTACTAGTATCTTATAAAATCATTATCCAAATACATTAAAAATTAATCTATAAAACAAAACGGAGCGAACAGGAAATTAATTCGCCCCTAATTTGGTAAGATGAGTACAATAATAATACTAGTTGACGGTCTATGAAGCAAAATTTCATTAAAAAAAATCATTTTTAATTACAAACCAATAATTAATTCCTACAAAAGTTATTTATTTATTTATTTTCATTTTCATTTTTCGTCTCCCTTCTTTCTTCTTCGTCTTCACTCTCAGTCTCGACGCCTGCCAAAATTGGGGCTGCTCTCTCTCTCTCTCTCTCTCTCTCTCTCTCTCTCTCCGAGGTAATTATTTTTTATTTTTTATTTAATATCCGCTGTTAATTTTTAATTTTTTGTGTTTTATTATTATTAAGTTATGCGAAACCCTATACTTGTGTATCTATCTGTAATCATCACTTGATGTTACGAACTAGGTTCTGAATAAGTGCCTCACTGTCGTGATTTAGGTTATTAAATTAAAAAAAAAACAAGGGTTGTTTTAATTCTGCTAAAAGATTTGCCTTTTTTTTTTTTTTTTTCTTATTCACAGCTATTTATTAATTTTTTGCACATTATATATATTTAATATTTGAGATCGATCTGTAGAGAATCAGAAATCGAGCTTCAAAAGATTCACCTTTCCGTATAGTAAGAGTCATTGTGATTGTAGATTATAATTCGGTTTACGTTTCGACTGTAGACTACAATCGGTAGATTTGCGTTATGCGAGATTCTTGAGAAGGTGTTAACGCTCGTTTTCTTCGAGTTATACTCGAATTTCAAATTTTTTGTCTTCTACGACTTATAAGATTTTTGTGTTATTTATCATCTTCTAAGAAACTTTAAACGAGGATATTCGTTTGGATTATTATCGATAGACGATTATCTAGTGCGTAAGAAGATATATTAATGATTATATGTAATGCCTAATATAATCGAGTTCAATAAATGCAACTTTGTTGGATTAAATATCGAAGTTAAAACACGGAAATTCGTAATTGATTGATTTATATTACTATGCATGCGTTAAGTTCAACACGAAAATCTCATTTTATGGTCAACTATGTTATCCGTAGATTCCTCAACCTGCTCTTTTATCAAAAGAGCTTTGGGCGGTGCTCGTAATTATGCAAACAATGATGGGTTTTTTCGTAATTAGGCCTTACCTCAGGGGGTTCTTATAATTTGCTCAAAAATTATTTGTTGTTTTTAAAACAGTGGCATTTTAAATGTTGGACAGATGTATATTTCTGTCGTTTTTGCCTTTCTTGTTGGACGATTAATTTCAATCTCTTGTTAATTAATTTCTTAGGCCTCGTTTGGTTGGGGAGAGTAGCCTTTATTAACTAAATAATTGGACCTTGTTTGATGTTTGGTATCCACAATAACTTGTCGGGTCGACCCGCAAATATTATATTGTTATGGCTTATCTTGCCTTCTGGGCCATGTTTTTTGTTAGATGTCTCGTGGTCCAATAAAATAATTGGGTTTTCGTTAGATTATTTAATCTTATCTTGACTAATTTTATCTCGCCAACCAAACGAGGCCTTATTGTACTAACAAAAATACTAGGTTCAGAAATTGTTTTCCGTTACAATTAACTTAATGTAAAATTAGTTGTCTTACTTTTGCCCGAATTCTTGATTCTTGAAGTGTATGGTAATTTGCTAATTTGTTTACACAATACTCTTCAAGCACGTATTGAATTTCAAATTTTGTACGATGAACAGGTTATATGGCGCACTTAGAATCTGCAAATACGGACATGAATCTGTATAACGGTACATCGAGAAAGCCTCGTATTCTGCTAGCTGCAAGTGGAAGTGTGGCTGCAATAAAATTTGCTAATCTCTGCCATTGTTTCTCGGAATGGGCAGAAGTGAAAGCAGTTGCGACAAAGGCGTCACTTCATTTTGTCGACAGAGCCTCACTTCCGAAAGACGTAACTCTTTATACAGACGAGGATGAGTGGTCCACTTGGAAGAAAATCGGCGATGGCGTGCTCCACATTGAGCTAAGACGATGGGCCGATATTATGGTCATTGCACCCTTATCAGCTAACACACTCGGCAAGGTAAAATAAATTTGTACGATTATATTTTACCCTGTTAGCATCGTTTCTTAGCAGGCATGGTAAGTGGAACGATTCGGGAATTTCTTAATTTTGGA